ATTAGACATCATTTGACCCTCCTCTTCTCTGCTGCACCTCTCTAAATAGCTCTCTTAATAAAAAGGAACATGGATTCCTCTCCTGTTGTCACCTAGCCTGTGGTAAATGAAACACTAGTGCACGGTTGGATTCCGGGGCAAGACATTGGTCCATAGCTGGACTGCAAAATGCTGTTGGCCAGGACTGATCACAGCCAGTGAGACACTGACTCACTCAGACTAGGGTGTCTCAACAGAAAATTGCCACAGCTGAGAAAGCCCGAAGGGAGGGAGACCGCACAGATGAGCCAGCTGCCCCAGGCATGCAACTCTGGGAGAGAGACGAAGGGCCAAAGCCACTAGATTGTTGGGGATTGCGTGGCAGGGAGGTGTGAACCAAAGCAGCAGAACAAAGGGAGTCAGACAGGACTCGTGACAGCTATCTCAGGACCCATCCAGTTCTGAAACCGCATGGGTCTTTGGATGAGTTAAACCATGGGCTCCCTATGGCCCCAAAAAGCCATACCGGGTCACGGTAACAGCCATGCGTCATCCAAGCTATGCCCCCAGGGCACTCAGAATGAGGAGTCACAAAGAGGGTGCTGACAAGTCCCAGTTTCAAACATTGCTTTGTATTCAGCAGCTGCCTCACTGGCCATTAGCTGTCCCCCAGCTGCCACAGAGCTTAGATTGTAACCAGCATGTGCATGGGGTGGTGGACCAGAATCCCTCTTCAGACCTCAGCATTGTTCTTCTCTCATGAGCCCAGCTCTGCCTGGGAAGGAGCAGAGCTCAAGATGTTTTATTATGGAATTCCTTTGATCTCTTGACACTGGAGGCCATTTCAGGACAGGGATGGAGAGACTTCTCCAAACTGAGCCAGGCACCTTAGCTCCATCTCTCTGAACCAGTCCATCTCCTCTGCATGTTCCCTGTGAGCAGAAGCTGTTCTAGGCAGTGCATTGTACCTCAAAAGCAGCAGATGCTGTGTAGGGAGTTCTAGGCAGCTCTCTGTGCCACGTGCGTTACGGAGCATGCTGCCTGGGCTCTGATCATCATTCCTCTCTGCTGCTTCATTGAACTGTCCCACAGGCAGCTGTTTGTTTTTATCATGGATTCAGACTCCTTTGCTCCCACATACTCACCCTATAGATTGTCAGGGTATACTACATTGGAAAGAACCTTGTTTGGAGACTGTTCGCAGGGGCTCTGCCCCCAACTGGCTAGCCCAGCACTGCCCACCACAGGCTTCTTGCACCTTCCTCTGAGACACATCTGACAGGATCCTGGGCTAGCTGGACTCTGACACTGATGCAGCTGGATGGTTCCACTGACCCCAGTGCCCCCTGTGCTGTGACTGAGACAATCCAGCCCCACACGCACACAGAGGGGGCGAGTCACTAAAAAAGTCATCAACATTTATTTTGTTTGCAAATTTCACTTAAAACTTGCTCCCCCAAATCTAGGAGGTAACACCCTAAGAGCTGTCTGCTCCGCTCATCAAGGCCCCAGGCACAGACAGCTCATCATCCCCAAGGGCAAAGGTGCTCTACTGTTGCCCCTGCCGGCAATGGGGCAGACAGACACAGTCTGCAGCTCCACCTTCCTGCCCTTGGATGGCACTTAGCCAAGGCCCCGGCCCCTTGAGCTCATCAACGATCGCAAGGGGATCAGCCCTGCGCAAGGGGATCAGCCCTGCGGTCCAGGCCAAACATCAGCCCGGCTTCCCCCACTCTGCCTCCCTATGGGCCCTGGCAGGTCACAAGAGATGTTTCCTTCCTGTGACCCCAGCAACCAGCTGCTGTGTCCACCCTGGAGGAGGCTGCTGCTTGGTGGCTGGGAGTGATCCTCAGAGAAAGCCTGTTGGCACTCTGCACTGGGAAGCACTGGAGAAGTGTCATCTCCTGCGCAGACTCCCTGGCCTCAGGCCACTTTGCATGCACCAAGGCTGTGGCAGCCACTAACTATCCATGAGACCCTGAGTGCCAACTCCAGAACCCCCGCCAGCCAACTAGGTAGGGCACAGGGTTCCACCCGAGAGGCCGTCTAACCAGGAACTGCCCTCTGTGACATCATGAGGGCGATGAGGCCGAAGAATGGCCATCACAGACTCTGCCCCGACTCCAAGGAGATTGACTGCACCAAGGCAGAGTGCATGGGGAGTCCATGGAAGCACAGGAGTGCAACTAGGAGTGGGAGCTAGGCAGCCCATGGTACAGGCTAGAGGAGCAAAAAGTGCTGCTCATCCCGGGACTCTGTCCCTTGGAGCAGTTCTCTTCGAGTCGATGTGTGCAATCACTGGTGCCCACAGAGCTGTCCTCAGCGGTACGGCAATGGGCTCTCCCTGTGCTCCAAGCTGGCGACTGCTTGCCATGTGGCAGGGGAGGGCGGGGGGAGAATGGGGACACTTTGCTCGGCAGGACAGGTGCTAGTTCTCAAGGCTAGAAGTCCAACCGTGCCCCCCTCAGCTATTGCACTCCTGTGGTTCAGCCTACAGCTTCCTGCTTCTTGGGAGAGGCTCCACTCCTGCTTCTTTCCCCACCCCCACCCCCAGCCCTAGCACTTGCTGTTTATCACCATCCCTGGCCTGCGCTCCTTCTGCCCACCCCATGCGGATGCAGCTCTTGCTCATCAGCTGGCATCAGCTGCTCAGCTCTGGTTAGAGACATGCAGGCTGGTGAGGAAATGCCAAATTAGTGTGTCACTCTGCAATCCACACGGATTGCCAGGTGCCCATGGCAGCTTCCCACTTTGCTTCCCAGTTCCAGGCCTAACCTTGCAATGCTGCTGGCTGGAGCAGTGGTGGAAACTCCAACTCAGCACTCAGGGGCCCTGGAGACCTCTGTCATCAGCAGGTTGGGGACAAAGAGATTGACTGAAGTCATTCCCTGCTACAGGCCAATTCATTAGAATTCACAGCAAGCCTGAGAAGCTGCACAGCTTTCCTGTGGGTGTGGTGCCGCTTGTGTTATTCCCAGCTTAGGACTGGCACGCAGACAGCCAGACCCACACACAGCACTCAACACCATGTGAGACGCCCACAGTGCAGGGCAAGCATGCTGCTGCATTCTCCCAGCCAACCTGCCTGAGCCCCCCAAGAAACTAGATCCCCACGGCTAACAGAAAAAGGGGCTGGACCCACTCCAACAAGCACGCCATGGCCCACTCCCACAATGCACCACTCAACCTCACTCCCACTAGAATGGCTGGGCAGCCCCACCCTGGCCAGCTCTAGATGCTCTCCGGGTGGCACCAGTGCAAAGACTCGGAGTCTGGCCAGCATGTCACAAAGATCTGCTCAGAGGAGGGCTGCCCACGCTCTGCCACGCTGCAGCACAGCCTGGGGAGAGCTGACAGGACATGATCTCTAGTGTAGAAGCTGCCACTGCACAAACCCAGAACTGGCACACAGGCCTCCCAGTAGGGCTGTTGACTATATTGAAAGTTAGCCCAGGAGATGTCCACTCTAAGCAGCCTTCCCTCTGACATGGCAAACTGTGAGCTTGGCCCTGAACCTCAGTGACTGGTTCAGGCAGGGCAGACACAGGCCAGCACAGTCCACAAATAAGGACTCAAGCAGCAAGCTGTGCATATTGGATCCCGACCCGCTCCTGGCTGCTGGGGACAGCGTGCAGCAGCCGTGCCTGAGCCAAGGGCCGGTGCATCCACTAAGCAAACTAGGCAGCCGCCTAGGGCGCCAACATTTGAGGGCGCCAAAAAGCGGTGCCCAAAATGTCTGGGATGCTCACCCGGTGCCGGCTAAATGTGTAACCCTCTTTGATCAGCTCTGGCCGGCCGGGAAGTGACGTCATTCCTCCTCCAGCCGCCGGAGGCGCTGCGCTGCTCCCTGCTGCTCTGGCTCTTCCCCAGGGCCCAGCCCCTGCTCAGCCCCGCCCTGCCCCCACTCCCCTGAGCTCTGCAGCAGGGCCGAAGTAGAGACCTGGCCCCAGCCACGCTGCCAGTGAGTGCTGGGGGGTGGTTCCCCCCTGCCCCCAAGCCAGCCCCGACCCCTCGGGGGCCTGACCCCCCCCATGGAAGCCAGCCCTCCCCCCCCCACTCCCGCCTCCCCCACGGAGGCCTGGGGCACCCCCTCATGTGGGGGGGCTGCATAGGGCTCAAAAATATCTAGGGACAGCCCTGGTACCTGCCACCGTCCTCAGCCAGCCGCACACCCCCTGCCCTGCCTGCAGCCAGCCCCTGCAGCACCCCCGTGCCCCAAGCCAGCCAGCCCCACACACCCCCGTCTCGTCAACCCCGCACCCCATCTCCAACCAGCTCCGCATCCCCCCTGCCATGCCGAAGCCAGCCAGCCCCGCACCTCCCTTTCTCCAGCCAGCCTCTGCCGCACCCCTGGACCCAAAGCC